ATCAATCTCTAAAGACTAACTAAATTAACTTCTAATTCTTCTTACTTCGTTCCGTTATTACGGTCTTTTTTGCAGCAACGATGTTAAATGACGTACGTGAACGTCTGAAAAATAGTGACTTCTCATTATTTGGTAATATTGATGAAATTTTGGCTACAATACCTTGTGATTTAAATGGACATATGCAAGCAATAATTAAATTAAACAACAGTATTGATGATCCGGTAAAAAACTTCAAAAAAAAAAAAAACAACACTTCCTTTTTAAAATGTAAAACGTCAGATGATATTTAGCCTTACGTGACTAAACGTAGTCACACGTAAGGCTAAATATTACCAAAGTATGAACCTAAATATGACCCAAATATAATCTAAATATGACTAATGACCATATGTGCTTTACATGACCTATATGAAATGAATTAGATATTATTGTAAAGATAAAGAAAAAAGAAAAAAATTATTGGAAAAATATGATGAAGAATCCATTTACTATATTTTAATTTAATATTATTCCAAAATATGGATTTAAACATGAGTTTACCAAATTATGAACCTAAAAATATGAACTTTAAATATAATATAACTAATTAGATATTAGTTATGTCATATTTAAATGATATGAATAAAATATTAATTAGATCATATTTAAATCTATTATTATTATTGTATAAAAATTAGCAAAATATTTTCTTTTCCATGTCAAATGTCAAATGGTATTTAGTTTTGTGTGACCTTACATTGTGTAACATTTATGTTATGAATTAGTTATTATTGTGAAGATAAAGGAAGTGAAATTGGAGGAATATAATAACGAATTCATTTGTTATATTTAATTAATATTATCATTATTTAAATTATATAATATCATATTTAAATTTATTAGTATTATTGTTTTCAAAAATTGCAAAAATTTCTTTTTTTTAAATCAAATTCACTTACAAAAATATTGTTATTTTCCAATAATTATTTCCGTTTTTTTGATTAAAATAATTATCTTTATTTTTAATTTAATTAATAATTCCTATTTTATCCTATTCTTTTAAATAATTATTTTTGCTTTTTGATAAGTTATTTATTTCTGTTTTATCATTTTTTTTTTAAGGTCACCCTCTTGAAATGCTTAAAATGTCCTGATGCAAGTATTTCCTATGTAAATGATGCGCTTATTGATCGATATCAGGAAGAGCTTAAAAATCGAACGAAAACTATACGTTTAAATGAATTTTTAAATCGTGAACAAATTCAAACAGTAATCATCGAGACTAATCGTATGTTTATAAAGTATTGATTACTTCGGGAAAAAAAATTTTTTTCTCTTTTTTTTTCTCCCAAATTATTAAAAGTATTTTTGGAAAACGTATGGAAATATATGTGATGATATTAATTATCAATTTTTTAATATGTTATAATAGTTGATAAGTTCAAACGTTTGTTAACCTTCTTGATAATGTAGCCTGTAAACCGGAACTTGTAAGTAATTTCAAAGTTCAATTCATTTTATAAACAATGATAAGTGATAAGCATAACGATGATGAGCACAAATGATAATGATAAGCATAAATGATAAGCAATAACGAATGAAAAACATAACATAAATGATAAGCATAATGATGGTACTAATTACTAAAATTATATTTCAAATTTTAGAGCTTTAATTTATAATTGATAAAAACTCATTGCTATGATTATATTTAAAAATTGACAATTGATAATCATTCGAATTTAATAAATTCTTCTTTTTTCAATTCTTATAGATTCGATTTTCGATTTATCCATTCAATTAATTGGTAATAATTTCTTACCTTTGTTCTAGAATGCTTACTAAGCTAGGTAGGATGGTAATATATCAGTTGTAGTGATAGTATATCAGTAGTAGTCTTCCTATTATCCCTGCAAAAATTTTCCCTCTCTATCTTTTCTTTTATTTATTGAAAAACAACAAAATTTTTACCAATTCTTGGATCATAGATTAGAAGGAATAAAATTTCAATAATCAACTTTACCCTAAAAACATCGCGTAATAATTAATCATAATTAATCCGTCTTATCATTGATCATTTATCATTTAACAATTATTGCCTCCTGTTGTCCACTACTTTTTGCTTTCCTCTTTAGAAATTATTTTCCCATCGTTTCTCATCTTTGACCATGATGACCATTGTTGTCTTAGGTCAAGTTTGTCTGAAGTAAATATGTAAATAAAGCTAACATGATTCATCCTATCTGTATATTATCCTTTTTAATCATTATATCAATAAAACACTTGAAACAATCATTATGCTTACATTTTATCACTATTTTGTAACACAATAATTTACTTAATATTTGAATAATCATAACTTTGCCATCCCTAATTACCGTAAAATAACCTTACACTTTGCGAAAGGAAAAAAAAAGTTAATTGTTGGGAAAAAAAATTAATTAAGAAGAAAAAAGTTAATTATTGAGAAAGAAAAACTCAACTGCTGAAAAAAAAGTTAATCAGCAAAAAAGGTTAATTAATGGGAAAAAAAAGTAATTAATCAGATTAATTATTCAGAAAATGCAATATTTTTTTAGGCGCTGAAGCACTCAAACGGTTAGAATATTTGCTACAAACTGAAAAAATTCCGGAAATAACGGAAATAAATGTAATTTTGGATGACTTACAACAGGATAATATTTTACGTAATGCAATTCCGTTATATGTTAATGAAATGCGGAAAATTCGATGGGCGCAAAATGTACCACTCAATGTGAAACAAATTGAAACGCTTTTAAAAGGTTTTTTTTTTTTTCGCCGTTATTATATTTTATTTCATTTAATTTTGTCAATGAATAAAGAAATGTTACATTTTGAAATTTTTTTTTCAATAACAAAAAAAAAATGAATAAACAAAGGAAAAAAGAACTGAAAATGAGTAATTATTATACTGATTTTGTAGAAAAATAAACTTTTCTCTTCAAAAGTTCTAAAAGTTCTTAAAGTTCTAAAAAGTTCAAAGGTTCTTAATGTTCTAAAAAAAACTTTTTTTTAATATTTAATTAAGTGGCATGGAAAATTTTAATATATGAAATGTATAAATGACAATGCATGTGACAATCAATAGAACTTTATGTCAAAAAAATAAATAATTAGCTAATAATTCAAAATTTTAAATTAATTTTAGGATTATTACTTTTAGTTATTTTGTTAAAATAACTTTCTCCTTTTCTTTCATCTTTTTTTTTTTATTTCGAACAATGTTAAAAGGATTTAATGAAAATTTTTTAAGAAAAAAAAGATCCAAATGTTTGTCAATTTTAATTTCAAAATTTTTGCTTTTTCTTTTGTAAAAAAAAAGAAAAATTTAAAAATTACAAAAAAAAATTAAAAACTGAAAATTTATATCTTTCCTTTTTATCTTTTTTAAATTTATTTAGTGATAAATACGTGCATACGTGTACGTTTTTGTGTATTGGAAAATGATAAACGTAATATGTATAACGGATTGAAATGCATATTGTATGAAATGGAAACGATTGTAAAATGTGAATTAATGGAGGCATATATGAAAGCAATACGTGAAAAATATGATATGATTGGAAAGGATTACGTGTTATTATGTGATGAATTACGTGATATTGTGGAAGAAATTAATCATGATAAATTGATAAAACAACAATTGGGTATAAATTTAATATCAATTCAGTTGTCATTATCTTTTCTTTTTTTTTGAAGAGAGAGAAATTTAAAAGATTTAATCGAATTATTTAAAATAAATTTTATTAATTTCAAATAAGCGAGATGATTTTCGATTTAAAAAAAAAGAAAAAAAAAGAAAGGAAAATACGGTAGAAAAGAAAGATTGATAATATCTTGAAAGATAAGAAAAAACAAAAATGAATAAATAAAATTGGTCTTTATTTGTCAAAAAGAAAAAAAAAGAAATAGAAAAATCAAACAAATATAGAAATGACCTATTAAATTCCTATTAAAATTTAGGTTATTAAATTTAGGTTTATTTTGCTTATGTTATGTTGCTAACAAAGAAATATGCAAATTTTATGTTATTTATTTTGAAATTGTTCATTAATCCTTTTTTTAATTTTAAAATTTTAAATAGAGAATGTTTTACATTTGTATAAACAAAATGCAAATTTGATTAATTAACATTGCTAAAAATTTTTTGGAATGATAAGTGATAAGAAGGAATTTTTGGCAAAAAAATATTAATTAAGTTTATTAAATGTCTAATAAAAAAAAAAGAAAAGAACTTTGGCAAAAAAAAAGACGGGGCTTAATTATGATAAGCTTATCGTAGTTTTGGAAAATTTTTAAACTGATATCATGATAAACTAATTAGAGATTTTATATGAAATTTGTAAAATAT